TCTGACAGCCTCGGAAACTTCTCCTTTTTTAATAGTGCTGGAAAACATAGGAGGAGAGAGGTTGATTTGGGTCTTTCAAGTATATTTTTTAAACCAAAGGTAGTTATTTTCATATTGATAAAGCTTTTTGTGACTAAGTCAACACTAAGTTGGGAGGTTACAAAGATTATGATCAGCACTGAGGCATCCTTCTGCATTGCCTGTGCTAAGTCCACCACTAAACAGTCTCATTTATCTTTTGTTTTTATTGAAACAACAGTTTTCTACCTGTAGGATGAGCTCAAATTCTAATGCCTGAATCAAGCTTTCTCTGCAAGTTCTTAACCACGTCAAATGTGGGGACTTCAAGACTCAGAGACACTTGTTCATGACAAAATGTTCATGAGCTTCTACAGAAAATTTTAAACATTGTCAGGTTAGTCAAGAAGTAAAAAAGAAAGAATCACTTTCTCACCTTTCTCTGTACCAAATTTGCATATTTGGCTGTGATCTTATAGCACTATGAGAAAATAGGGTTTTTCTTGTTCTGCTACTTCTGCTCTGGGTAATGCCATTACAATTGTTTCAGTAATGCCAACRCAACCAAACTTACTTGTTTTTAAACAGGTAAAAAAGTAGCCACTGRAATGCCTTTAAGCAAATATCTTAGATGAGACAGCAGGATTCTGCATGAAAAAGTTAAAAAAGAAAAGGACAAAACAGACCTTCCAGAAACCTRGAAAATACTCTTCAAAAAGAAGTAGTTCAAGTGAAATTAATTTGCACCTGAGGACTAGATACAAATACTATGGTATGTCTCTTTATTTCAAGTTTCCAGAATCTGGTTAACTATAACAATCTGTCTTGTCATACACTTTAATTATTTTAATTTCTGTATGTTTTTGTAATGTCTTTCCTTTGGTTATAAAGTATGCAAGTAAAACCATGTTGTATCTTTATATTAACCCATCATCTTCACAGTAACTGTAATTTACCACAGGAGAGTAGGGAACACATTAGCATCATCCTGACATTTGTCAGCTGCTCAGAACAAATATTGTTTCTTCTCAGATTCATTATTGGCTCAAGCAAGGATGCTCAGATTTTCTTAGTGGAGAATAACAAATCAGAGTACAGAATAAACCACATTTTCATCTGCCTGAAAATTAGAGGCAGATTTATTCTTCCACATAAAATTAAAAAAGTACTATTTTCCTGTTTCTACARGGTTTCTTTATGACTGTTGAGAAATCTTGCTGTCTGTTTTGACAGAACAAATACTGCTAAATGGAGATTGCTTAATGCATGCAGGGTGAGATGGTCAAAGTAGCCAGACAAAGTATGAAATGACAACAACATACCCTGTCACGACTTCTGTTCACTCTTATAAGTATTGAATAAATTATCTCATTCAATCAATCTGCCTTGACTCTGAGGTTTTATGTGCTTGTCTTGCTTGTTATACGTGTTAGCCATGAGAAGTAGCAAAATTGAGTATATCATGGATCCACTATGTTCTCAAGGAACAAGAATATAATTGGGAACTCAGCTGCAAGCAACTGGAAGGGCTTTACAGCCCAAATGTTACTGACAGAGTCACTGAAAGCCATGAGAGCTGCAAACATGGGATGGGAGCTAGGATTTGTTCTGAAAAACTTCTATTAATAGAAATGAGTAGTAAGAAGGAGAAAGAAATCAAATCTCAGAAGCAGAATCCACTGGAAAAGTTCAAATTTTTAAACAATAGTAATTCTTCAGTTCAAAGCTTCATTTTGAGCTCACTAACAACAAATTTAAAGTAAATAAATCAGAAATAATAGGAAAATCACAGAAAGACTGCCACATTAAGCAATTTTTTCTTTTACCTTTCAAAGTGGAATGTACTTGATGCAATTTCCAGGAAAAGATCCTGTTATTCCTTTGTTATTCATATGATTAAAATAGATGCCAAGGACATACAAAAAAGCAAAGTATCTGAGTGTTAAAATGAAAAAGTATAACACTGAATGTTTACCATTCAAATGCTATTTTTTTAGGAGAATAAAAACATCAGAAAGTCTTTTTTAACAATGTAATTAATTTTGAATGCTAAAGTGACGTTCCTACTGGCTAAATTACTCTGTTTTGCTGTTCCATGGAAGCAGAGGTGTCTCTATTCATCCACACTACAGACTGGAAAGAACACAATACATGATGAACAGATAGCACAATTTCAATTTTCCATCTCTTCATGGAATCTTCAGACAGCTCAGTATAGCTGTGAATAAAAGAGCAAATAGGATATTTTTTTTGTATCTTATCACTGCTTTTAATTTTCATTTCACCTGGCATTTTAAGCTTTTAAAATACTTGATTCCTGGAATCTACTTTCTTTAACAATACAGACTTGTTATGCGTAAGGATTTCAGTAATTTGTCCAAAGGTATGATTTTTCATTTTTTACTATTTTTAAATAGGAACAAAAGCTCTTATGGAAACTCTGATTTTGATTTATAATCTGCCATTGTTAACAAACCATTTAAATTAGTAAAATGACAGGTCCAAACTAAACCACAATAAGCTGATCTTCAATCAAGATAAATGGTTTGTGCTTTTTTAAAAAATTAAACACATCCCAAGCAGATACACAGACAAATGCTGAAGTCTCATACCATTGAAAAGCTAAAAAAATACCTTTTTATTTTGAGTCAAAGCTTCCAAGTCAGCGTTTCTTAGTTTGCTCTGTAAATGTTTCTGACTTCCGTCCCATAAAAGCCTCCTTTCCTATCCCACTTCCCTCCAAATTATTTAAGCCTGTGATTCTCCAAGTTCATAGAGACTCAATGACAGATTAAGCCTGCTATCCTAGCAGTTACACAGCATTGGAAACAGAGGCAAACTTCTTAAAACATGATTAATGCGAGACATGTTGGAGTGGGCCAGTTTTCATGAAGCAGAGTACCCATGGTTTGAAAATCCAGACTATGAAGAATCTTACTTAGGAGATTAAAGAAAAAGAAGATACAAAAGCTCTAATTATGTGTGGAAGCCAATGTCAGCAAGTTTCTAGACAGCAGAGAGATGGATATTTACATTTCTCCAGGAGAGTAGAAAGCATTACTGAAAGGTACTTTTAGGCATTATTATATTATTACACATATTAACACATTTTAAAGTGACAACGAGTTTGCTGGTGTTTGTTTTGTTTTGCTCTGAGCTATTCCCAAAGCTTCAGTGACAATAAGAAATCAACATCAGCACTAACAACATGTTTAACCTTTCAAAAAGATGTGTACTTCAGTTTTCTCTCAGAAAGGTAGGTTTCACGTGGTGAAATGGATGAAAATTCAGCAGCAATTTTCCAAGTAACCAGTGCAACCACGAATAACTTTGYGTCCCTTAAAAAAAGCACCTAATTTGATTCAGTCATGCTGACAGAAATATTTGTTGCTCCTTTCTGGAAGGCTCTTTAGAAAKCTTGAAATTTTTGCTAAAATTTCTCCCTGTTCTTTGAAGATGATGTAATTTAATATCTTCCACCTTTATGTGAGTGACATCTTCCACATTTTTAGTGAGGTTTATGTCTTCATATCCATAATGTGGATTTGTCTTTCTTTCATGTTTGCTAATACCAGTGATTTTGGAACTGGCAAATCTTCATAAYAGGTTGAAATACTACAAAAACTTAACAGGCCTTGGTGACTGCTTTCTCCTTCCCCTTTTTCATGTATTGTTCAAATCAGACTCAACACCTCCCCCAAGGTCAACTATCTGATCACATTTCCCCAATCAAATCTCACCTTAACAGCTATTTCTATTGCAAAAAGTGAGTCAGCAAAATTTCCTTTATTTAAATACCTCAGAAATAGTCAATCACTGTCCAAGAAATTGTGGCTGAACRCAATGATTTGTGGAACAGCTTCTCATCACACTTGCTCTGAAACTTAAGATAGAAAGAGAGTGTTATTATTAGTTGTTCCCTTAAGTTTTATTTTCATTATTTTCATTGTATAGAAGATGCTGAGTAAGAACACAAGCTACAGGACCAGAGCTGACCCTTGKAAGAACTCAGGATAAACTGATAAACTGAACCTGTCTCAGTCATGGCTCTCTCCAGGCACTGTTTTTGACAGGTCTACCGCATGAACTTCTACACAAGTATAAACAACTTTCACGAAAATGGGTAATGCCGAAGTCGAAAAGACCAGCTTGTTCTAACAGTTCAAAATGGCTCACAAAGCTGTATCAGGTTCATTCATTTCTCTGTCTGGAGGCAGCCACGGAAATGCTTCATTACTGCCAACACTGAGATGTTTCTCCAAAGACAAGGCTGGAGATACTACTTTGGATCATCCTCCAAGGAGAATAGAAAATGATTGCCAAAAAATTAGATCTCCAGGGCGTGTTCAACTAAGGCGCACTGTTGGG